CGCAAAAGAATAAAGGCTTGACCACTTGCAAGTGTGCTGTGTGGACATTTCTATAGTACAAAAGCTTGTTTTCATTGGTGGCATCGCTGCTGCAATTTTCATAGCTTGGACGAAGGTGCCTCTGTCTTCAGAGGAACTAAGTTTGACTACAGAAATTTATCAACCAGTACAGTGCAAAAGAGCCCCATAAGCAAAATTATTTTCACTTTCAGTGCCAAAGAAATAAAGAACTAAGATTCAGTAACTATGTAAGATGACTAAAGGTTTGTAAAATACTAGCTATTTAAAACACGAGAAGCAGGCAAAGTGTATTTTAAATGACAACTGACAGGCATAATACTGTGAACAGTCTGGACTGAATTTTGAAAACTAGCATGCCTCAGAAGATAACCTAAAATTAATACTTCAGAATAATAAAAAGAGGAAATCAAATGAAATAATGGTTATTTGTTATTTCTATTGCAAATTATTATTTAAAAGTTGCCAAACCAGCTCAGTTACATTGTAGGTAGAGCATTTTGCAACTTTTCCCCCAAGATTTCAATGTCTTCCCAACAGAAGCTCCATCATTATTTAAGAAATCACTACAGCTGGGCATAGTGGTGCACACCTGTAATCCTAGCACTTGGGAGGGTGAGGCAGGAGGATCAACACCAGTTCAAAGCCAGCCTGGACTACATAGTGAGTTCAAGGCCAATCTGAACTACATTGTGAGACCCTGTTTCAAAAAGCCAAAATGAATAAATAAATTAATAATAATAACAATGATAAAAAACAAAAAAAAAATTGCATGAGGATAAGAAGATAAATACATGGGACAAAGATCTTTCACCAAATTCACAATTTAGCAAAAAACAAGACACGAGGGCCAGATAATAACTTGACCAGTTTGTTTTTAATTCAATTCTTTTATATATAGTATATTTATACCTGTTATAAGGAGGTTGAAAAGTAGCTATTTATAGGAGACAGGCAAATCTTTAACAAAAATATTTCTTGTGGAAGTGGGCACCACTGGTAGTATAAATTTCAGCAGAAGGCGCACACACCCTCTAGCGGCCAATGAGAATAGTTACCGTGGTGTGTTTTTACTCAAAGGCACTTGAAATATTTCTGCATTAACATTAACTTACAACTAAGATGTGTAAAATGATTTTCTTCACGGTGCTACAAACCCATAAATTGACAGAAATGATATCTGTCTGCTTAATATTCAGACAATATTTTACTTACGAGTAATATAATACTAGAAGCCAGGCATTACAGGTTTTTCTGTGAAATGCTCAGGTTTTTCTTTCACCTGCCAATTTACCTAACACTTCGTCTTCCTCTCCAAAAGATTCCCAAGTCTTTTCCTATCCCACTTAAGTTTAAAAGACTTTGGTTTACCAAACTGTGAAGACTCAATGAATGGATGTTTGTTACACAACTGTTCTTAAATTACAGAAATTCACAAAAAGACTTAGCACTTGCCTAGAGGCCCTGGGTTCAAACCCCAGTACTACAAAAATAAGTAAATAAAAATAAAAAGGAAAGCTCTGCTGATTTAGCTACCAATACCTAAGATAAATGATATCTAAACATACATATATTAAAATTAGAAGAACTATAAAACCAGGGGCTTTGAAAACATTACCATTACTCAATCCTATTCTCTTTCTAATCAAACTTAATGTCCACCAAAATAAAAATGACACTGGATTCTGTTTGACTGTGTTGTCCACAATAATAAAGTACATCTTCCTGTCTAGATGTTAAACAGGCAGGAAGAACTCTCAAGGAATGAACTTCTTAACATACTTTGCAACAGATGACAAAGCTCTCGACCTCCCTTTGCAGTATCTTCTGGCAAGTTCACTGCAGGTTTTAGCCATATTCTTGATTTATAAAGTAGTTAATCACTTTAGTGTTTATCTAGGAAGGGAATTCTAGACCCTACCCTGTCTCAATATTACCCTGATAGATTGTGATTACGTATACAGATCACTCCCAGTTCTGCAGACTATGTACTCATGACTCAATAACAGGAAATGACAAAACTGCTGCTTTAACAGTAAGTTAAGTGCCATGGCTTCATATTTTATTGCTATTTATTCTTAAACCATTCATAAAAATAAAGAAAAGTTACAACCACATTAAGAAGCCAATGCCTTCCAAATTTTTGTGCCATGAAAGAAAAAGGTTCAACACTGATACAAAATAAGTATTTAAAATTTTATCTGTAATTTTTTGTTTTTTGAGACATGGTCTCACTATCCCTCCCAGGAGGGCCTTGAACTGCTGATCTTCTAGCCTCAGCCTCCCGAGTGCTGAGATTACAAGTGCCGTGATACCTACCTTTCTTGAATTTTTAACCTCTAGAAAGAGAGTGAAGTTCAACTCAGGGACCTTAAACATTACTTTGAGGAAGGAATATGGGACACAAGAAGACTCCAGATTCCAGGCTACAGTTTAGTCGCCACTTAGGTAAATCATACCATCTGTAAAGTCCACTGACCTCGAACAGCTACTAGGCAGGTGAGCAGCTCAAAGACATCGGAAAGCTAAAAGGTGGTTACCAATGCACAGCTTACTCAGTATATTTTCTTGCCAATAAGGACAAAAGCATATCCAAATTTACAGTTAAGTACTTAAAAATGTTTTTTCAGCCTTTAACGTCTTTCTGTGGGGTTTATGTAAAGGTAAAATTGTTTTTCTAAAATTGCACCCGGGCTCACAGTCATATCTCACAAACATAAAACTATGGTTAATAATTAGCAATCTGACTGAGGTAGACTTGAGATAGCTATGCATGAAGTCAAATAAAACATTTTCCATTGGTTAAAAACTTCTACTCTCGGCCAGGCGTGGTGGTGCGTGCCTGTAATCCCAGCACTTGGGAGCTCAAGGCCACGCTAACCCACATAGCAAGACAAACAATGCAAAAAAGAAACCACTTCACTTCTCTTGCCAGGCACAATGGTGCTTACCTGTAATCTCAGCTAACTGAGAGGCTGAGGCAGGAGGACAGCAAGTTTGAAGCTAGCCTCAGCAACTTATAGAGACCCTGCCTGTTTCAAAATAAAAATAAAGGAAGTTGGGAATGTAGCTCAGTGGTAGAGCATGAGTTCAATCTCCAGTACTGAAAAAAATCAAACAAAACAAAATGGCTTCTGAGTGGATTCAACTGTAAAACTTATAAAAATTCAAACCAAGATACAATTAGAGGCATTCCTTTTGGGGCTAGGCATGTGCTCAATGGCAGAGCATATATATGGCTAAAAGGTGTGAGTTTGATCCCCAGCCCCCATCAAAAAAACAGACAGAGCATTCTTTTTGATAATGATAGAATAAGTATATATGAATAAAGCACTATATATGTGCTTTTGAGAAAAGAAAGACCTTGAGTAAAAATAGAGTAAAAAGTTGAATATTAGTGACAGTCTAACTAAATCCTGGCTCTAATACTTCACAGATAACACTCCAGAATTTTCTAGTCAAAACACTGTTTAACTTTCATCTTCTCTCTGCTGCCACCATTAAGAGCAGATAAACTTCCAAATGTTAGATTATGGCTTTGTGTGTCATGAAAAAAGATGTGTTTGTACTAACACCTGTGACACTTCATCTTAAGGCCTTAACTGGGGAAACAGAATCATTCAGAGCAGTTTTGTCAGGGGTATTTGTCAATATTTGGAGATATTTTTGACTGTCACAAGTGGGAGAGAAACCAATGCTACTGGCATCTAGGGGTGTGGCCAGCAATGCAGATAAATATCCTGTAAATCACAGGACCACCCCCACAACAGAGTTAAGTGGCCCCAAATATCGAATATTAGTGCTAGGGTTGAGAAACCCTAATTCAGCAGAACGCCCAAAAGCATACTGTACTCAGCCAGGCACGGCAGTGCATTCCTATAATCCCAGCACATGAGACTGAGGTAGGAGGATCACCATGAGTTCAAGGCCAACCTGGGCTACATAGTGA